GTGTTTATGGAGAGATTTGAAGGTCAATTTCACCAGAAGACGAAGGCTGACTCCTCTTGACCAACTGTCGATTGGTTCTGCGGTAACATTCTTATTGATGCTGTTTGGGGTAATCTCCCTCGATTCCGGTTAAAACGTGCTACGCTTTATGTCCATCGCATGACAGACACCATCATATCAGGGCATCATCCGTACAACCATATTCAAGCTAATGAATCAAGTAAACATAAGAATGATGATAGCTTAACAGGTTTTCCTCGGAATCGTAGGGACTGCTCCTGAAGCAGAAAGAAGGCTCCAGTAAAGCCAATCGACAGCTGGTCAAAAGTAATCCGCCGTCTTCTTCTGGTGGGATAGACGTTCGAATCTCCCCGTTAAACTATTTTATTCGAGATGGAATTATGCTTAATAACATTCGCACAGTTGATTACCAGGAAGGTTATCAGCATCTTTTTATGCATTTTCAGATTCCTATCGTTTCTGGAGATTCGATCAGCTCTTCTGGTCTCCTGACGGTCCCGTCACAGATTCAGTCTCATTTTCCCGAGCAAGCCTGGCCGTCTACGCTGAATGAAAGCTCATTTAATCTTCCGACTAGATCTTCTGTTCCTGAGAAACCAATAATTCTTTCGGAGCAGCTGCAGGAGATTACGGATTCTGTAGTTTCCATTTCCAATCATATCCAAGACGCCGAACTCCACAGATCCCTTTCTGCTGATTCGGATGCCTGTCTGCTGTGCAAGGATATGGAGCATGTCGACAAGGTCTCTTGTACATCGAAGTCTGAATTCGTAGATGAAGTTGGCATTGAGGCGAATCACTGGCTGGCCACTTCCGCCACAGCTCACAACCAGGACGCTCAATCCTGTGACGGCCTTGAGCCGATTGCTCTGTTCAACACATCCTCAAATGGAAGGATCGGCTGTATTCTTTCTTAGGCTGTCTCTTTTTGCAGTTTGCTTTCCAGGCTTGGTATTTTCTGTTCCGGCTTGGCTCGTCTTTCAAATGTGTATTACAATGGACTGATAATCAGCCGGAACTTCCCGAGCCGTTTCAGCGTTATGAATTTTATCCTTCCTCCAGCCTATTCAACATTTCTTTTAATTATTCATCCTGCTGGCTAGGATGACTAAGTTTTAATATTTATCGCCTGTTACATTTCATGTGCCCTACTTTCGACCAGTATACAAATGAAATACGGAATCAGGCCGCTTTTTATTGCCTATTTCAGATTTCATTATTGTTAGCAATGCCTTATTCTATTGCCACCAGGACCACAGCTTTCGTAAGTATTTACTTTTTCATTAAATTATCATATTACTAATGTTGCATTTATTATTAATATAATTACTACCATTAATGTTGATGAAATTATAATCTTGATTAAAGACAATATATTTTTCCTGACCCCTATTAATATTACGGCTAATTCACTATCTGAATTCGCTTTATTTGTTTCTTCCACCCACTCTCCTGTCACTAGAGTTTCAGCCCTATTATCTTGAAAAATGGGATTAGTTGTTAGGGTATATTAGAGATAGCATTCCATTTTTACTCGTTTAACAATTCATTAGAGCCAAGATAGAATTTAAGGGATAATCCATGTATAGTATGGAGTCAATTAACTCGGTAAAATGAAGTTCCATCTGAAGCCTAAAGATCTAGATCTTGTAATAAACTAAGGTAGCGCAGTTTCTATGACCAGCATAGAGCAGACGGATATTAAATATGTAAGAGATGAGTCTACGCAAAATAGTTAGACCTAAAAGCCCTTTTTCTCAGCAGATCGCATTTGATTACTTAGGCATCATTTTACCCACTGTCAGCTGAATTAACATTACAAAGATTAAGCATCTATGTTTATGCGAAATTCTTCCATATTTTTGCGCTGTAAAAACAACTTTAAATACATTTTTGAAATCACTTTATTTTGTTCTTTAGAGATTCACGCCGACCGTAGCGGGGAAGACGCTTCAGGAAAAATCATCTATCAGTAGCTCGTGTCTTGTTAGAACCAATGAAGCGTATGCGTTAGCTGAATTCTTTTTAGCAGAAACTGGATGCTCATCTTCCTCTGAAAAATCATAAAAAAGAATGTCACATGCCTATTTCTCTATCTGCGCATTCGTTTGATAGATGCTGTTAAAAATATTAATCGTGTATATATCAAGCTGTAGACTTTTTTGCAGACTCGGGCTTAAGTGGTCAAGTATGTTCATTGATTTCGGAATACTAATTTTATCCTTGTATGTGCCTAGATTTAGAAGCCTTTTCCTCAACCATTATATAAATATAATGGTTCCATTAACTTATCAGGTTTATACGGAGAGTAACTGGATTTCGATTACTCTTCTAAGATAACATTGTTAGGAGATTTTCATTTAGTATTAAAGTGCATTAATAATTGATTTGAAAGTTAATCTCATCAGAAGACGACGACTCATTCGAGTTGTATTTCAGCCGTTTGGCTTTACTACGACGTTCAGGTTGACGCAATTCATGAGACGTCCTCCCCCGTTTCGAGTGAAAACGAGCTCAGCTTTCGTCCATCATATAATGGATATAATCAGACCTGGAGCTCATTCCTATCAAAGTCTTGCGTTAACACTAGGTCAAGCCTATTTTCACCCGAAGTGAGAGAGGGTATCTCGTGGACTGCGTCAAACTGAACGACGTATTAATGCCAAATGTCTGTAGTACAACTGGAATAAGCCGTAGTCTTCTGGAGAAATCGAATCTCTTCATACGAGATTAAAGTGTCCCCAACAGTTTTATCTTAGGAAATTTATCGAAACCTAGTTACTTTTCATACAAGGAAAAAAGGATTTTTCGTATGTATATATATATATATATACTCAATGTTATTAGATTTACTTGATTCACCAATTTTGGATATTATTAAAGTTATTATACATTATTTTTGCAACTAGGTCATATTGGTGGGAAGACCTAGAGGAAAGCATCTAGTCGGGAATCCATTGTGTGCATGATAATTTTCAGATTCGTACCGTCGACTGGGTACACTCCGAGACGTTGCGCCGGCATCGCAGTTGGCATCGTCATTGAGTCTTGCCTCTCTTAGCAACCAAGCTACAACTCGTCAAAGAGACAAGGGAAGCCGATCCTTTCACCCATTTTCTGCTAAACAATTGTGGTATCCCTTCTGCCCTGGGCTATTCACCAATCCGATGACCCATCACACTTTCTTATTTAAATGTGACATGTTGTGCCGTTTTGGGGCGGATTTCATGGAAACTCTCCAAACCCCACAGTGACTTCCTTACCCAATTACCCCGCAATCCTCTTCCCATACATCCTATTAGAGTCTCCCTCTTTCCCCGTAGGATCCACCTCCTACCCTCCTGGTGCAGATATTTTACTCTAAACCTGCCAGCCTATCTGTACTACTCGAAGCCTTATTTCCCACACTGTTTCAAACTTTTGATGGCACGCATACTCCAGTTTCGTTGAATTGGCCCCTAAAAATCAGTATTCTCAAGATGTATGGAAAATTAACTTGAGGTTAAAGAGTCCGAGTAATTCTCATGGTCATGCCTTTGCCTCATGCATCACATCTATGATCAAATACGTCAATTGTTAGCCAAATAGCTGTAGTTTCCGTTCTATTCTCTTGTGTGTCAACCCGCAAATGCGGTGGTTCTACTTGTTTCGATTAGGTCCAATTTAGAACCACAACATTTTTGGGCTGGAACACAAGAAAATAGAGCGGAGACTACAGTTTTTGGCTGACAATTGACGTGCTTGATTGGTGAATATCCCAGGGCAGGAGAGATACCACATTTGTTTAGCAGACAATTGGCCAAAGGATCGGCTTCACCTGTCTCGTTGACGAGTTGCAGTGTGGTGCTAAGACTGGCGTACTATGAATTCCGGACTAGATGCGTTCCCCTAGGTCTTCCTACCAAAGACCCAGTTGCGTAAACAAGTTTAAACAATTATATGAGATGTATTCACCCTATTTCTTTAAAGGTGATGAAGGACTAATGATGAAATTTTCCCACAATAGTATCAGTAAGTAATGTAGTTGATTGTTACAGCAAAAATACGTTTGCTTCGTACG